TATATATATATATATATATATATATCTACTCATGCACTCCGCCAGTAGTGAACTTACATACATAGCAAAAAGTTGAATAAGGAAAGGGACGCTTATAGATGAGGTTACGAAACATTGTATCACGAATTACAGGTGTTTGTAAAGCCTTTGGTGATGCATGCAGAAAGGAGTATCTGCAAACACCGGTCAAGCTGAGGCGATAATTCAGGACACATTAGCCCTCATCAGTCTTTCCTGCTCAGGTTATCTAAAACTGAGTTTGGGTGTGACTAGCTGCCGACAACCACTCAGCCAGAAATGGCCATTCCCGTTATTTTTATCGGCGCTGTTGTTCTGTCCATGATATTAGCTAATTGCAGCTGCAGACAGCACGTGAGAGTGCGCCTAGAGTCACAACGTGACTGGCATATCCCATAAGGCGACCGGTAATGCGTTCCAGTATCATTGTTGATATACCTGATCGCGACCGACAGGGCAAGGAGTCCGTGATTCAGTGCTTAGAGAGCTGCCTGTCAGGTCACCTGTTTGATCGGTGGGTAGAACTGTACCTGTGGCTGGATATGTCTGGCTGATGACGGCTAATAAAAGGGCTTAGATGGCCATTCTAATACCCCTTGTTTTTGGCGATGCCTTTTTCTACACGGAAAAGACATTGTATACTGAAATAGTATCACACAGCACTACGTTCTTTCATTCCAAACACAATCCATTGGAAACAAACCAGCAGGCTGATAGTCTGCAAACTTACGCAGTGGCGAGTCAGGTTTTTGTGGAGCAAAAGGTGACTAGGCGTGGTGAGGTAAAGACGAACAAGGGGGGAAGCACCTGCTCCTTAGGGGTCCTATCAGTTTATCTACAACTGCACAAAATGTTACTTTGAGAACGGAAGTTTGAACCTCCCAGCACCGAGTTTGTGCAACCTGCTACAGCGTTGAGGGCATGTCGCAAACGGACCCTTACTTTGATGGAACCAACGGTGAAAATCAGTCGACTGCTACGTAGACTAAAACCAAAATCTTAGACAAATCACACAGAAGCAAGTGTGTTCGC